CAGGGAGAGAACATTTTCTTTCTGCTCAGCACTGGCAAAATCAGAGAACAAGAGCCAAACAAATAAAAAAAAAGTGTAGGGAACGAGCCTTAGTGCAAGAGATAAGGGGTACATGCTAAAATCAGGAAAAGGAAATGGCACATCCCCCTCAAAAGCAAAATGTTCAGCTGGAGGGAGATCACAAGCGAGTCTAGGCAAAGAAAGCACAACCTTCCCCATGCCAACTGCCTACCTGTGCATAACTGCCCCTGGAAGGATTATATCCTTGGTGAACAGGAAGCCTAGCTAATATGGCTCTTTCAGTTTTTAGCTTTGCTGCCAAGCCCCGCATCCCTGGGAGAGTGGAGTGAGGGGGGGGGAACAAAACAAAAAAACACCACTTTCAACTTCTCCCTTGCTAGAAGGGAAAAAAACAAGCAGCTAGCACCTGGCATGTACAGAGACTATTCCCAAGACATGGCACAGGGGGTCCCTACCATCCCTGGAGCCATGGTACACATTAGGAAGGTAGACTTGCCTATCAGGCACCCTGTATCCAAAATTAAGAGAGAGTCTCTTTCCCCTCCAGGGCTAGAGTCTAAATAAAAGGTCTTTTTACCTCCTTTAAGACCATGACTTCCACGCACCACTGCAGGAAGTCACCCAATTTCCAAGCTTTTTATGCTACTGTATGACTGGATTCCAACACAGCTTTTAAAAGGAAGGAAGGAAGGAAGGAGGGGGGAATCCTTTATCTAGACCACCAACTTGTCAGTTCTTTGTAAGTGCTGCTGGCCAGTTAGAATCAAGCCCATGATCCTGCTGTCTGGTACAGAATAGGGTTTCCCTGGACCAACTTAGACTGCTATTGGCATATCTGCTGAAACCACCATCCTTTACAGGACACTTATGATCCAGGCACCAGTATCAAGGATTCTAGACCTTAATGACACCTAACCAGCAGGACAGATACAGTTATGAGAGGGACTCTTGATCAGCGAGTCCAGGAAAGGGTCCATAAATCAAAACAGCAATGGGAGTGGTGCCCCCCACCCCACCCTTGGTACAGAGCCAGTAATCCAACAGATACTTCCATTTTAACATGATTAAAAACAGGAGTTAGCAAAAATCACAGATCTATAAAAAAATTCAGAAGATACAAAAAAATCACTTCTATAAAAAGTTGGCAGCCCAAGAATACAACCAGCAAAGCCAGCCTGGGCTGAGCCCATACTATACAAGTCTCTAAAGTGCCTCAGAGCCAGTAAAAGGGCAGCTGATGAGAGGGACATGGAGCTAATGAAGTCCAAAACCCACATGCACCTGTTCCAAGAGCAGCTCAGCAGCTGTCACAAGCTGAGTGGGCCACACTTGGAATGGCCAGGCTTGACTCTTTCTAGAGATCTATCCACCAGTCAAATGAGGAAGAGAAAGAGTGCATGTGTGTGAAAGGAAGTATTTGGTTTACCTCCCCCCTCAAAAAAAAAGGGAGAACCAACCAAGGGCAATGATTGGTGTGAGAAAAGAAAAAGCAGAGTTGCAAGAAGGAAGTGGGTCACTCAGAGGCATCACCACCAGCAAGCCAAGCCCTGAAGCTTCCTGAGGATTTATTTGAGGGGGGGGGTCTTAGATCTAGTGGGGGAGGAGGAAGAATCTTTTATGCTGTGTTATACCAAAATAGGCTGGCAGAGAATGGAGATTGGGAAAGGGTTGCATAAACATGGGCCAGGCAGAAAGTCCTTCTCACCCCCCACCCTCTCCCTCAGGCTGAACTTGCATCATGCGATGCCCTGGTAAGTGGCCTGCCTCAGAGTATCAAAAATACAGGAAAGGGCAGCCCAGCGCCTGCAGGTGTCACAGGAAGATTCAGATCATGTTGCAGCTCCAATAGTTGCTTGGCAGTGTGGTGTTAGCAGTGTGGGATGTCACAGGAGTAATATTCAATGTTGATTGAACAGCCTGGGTACGAGGCAGGAATGTTTCATTTGCTCTGCTCTGTGGTGTGGCAGCGCTGGGGCCAGACTCAGGACTTCGGCACTTTGGTGTAGTCTTCATTGTGTATATTCTTGCAGAGTGAGATGGACAGCAGCATGCCCAACAGCTGGAACAAGGAATTGGGAAGAGGGAAGATCAGGCAGGTGCAGGCAAAGGAAGAAACATGCACATTGGTGCTACTTTAGGTTCACTGATCAGGTGGACAGGCAGCTGGCCCCCCCATCAGTACAAAACACTGTTAACAGCCAGCAAATATGGGCAGTCTAGTACTGGAAGACAAGTCTTTAAAAGTCTCCCTTACTTAATATATTTACTCAAATCTAAAGATGACCCTGACTTTAAAATGACCCCTTAATAGTTAGATTCTATGTGTGGAAAAATGTATGTTACAATTTCCAGATATATAATCTAATTATTGGAGGTTTGCCTTGAATTTGTTCCCCTCCTACTGCTATAGCAACAGAAATAAATCTGTGGTGGTGGTGGGTTTGGGGGG